TGAAGTTTACTTGATAAGTATTTCTTTTTTCTTGTTCAGGTCCATGTCGTGTGGCGTTGGTAGTCATGACTATCCACAATCTTCTGTGTCGTGTACTTTCGGTTAACTCTGTCACGGATGATCCTCCATGCCGCGTGGCGTTGGTAGTCATGACTATCCACAATCTTCTGTCTCGTGTACTTTCGGTTAACTCTGTCACGGATGATCCTCCATGCCGTGTGGCGTTGGCAGTCATGACTATCCACAATCTTCTGTCTCGTGTACTTTCGGTTAACTCTGTCACGGATGATCCTCCATGCCGTGTGGCGTTGGCAGTCATGACTATCCACAATCTTCTGTCTCGTGTACTTTCGGTTAACTCTGTCACGGATGATCCTCCATGCCGTGTGGCGTTGGCAGTCATGACTATCCACAATCTTCTGTCTCATGTACTTTCGGTTAACTCTGTCACGGATGATCCTCCATGCCGTGTGGCGTTGGTAGTCATGACTATCCACAATCTTCTGTCTCGTGTACTTTCAGTTAACTCTGTCGCGGATGATCCTTCATGTCTTGATGTCAGACTGTCCAGCATTTTTTTTGTCGGTCTCTCTCTGCCTCTCCTCCCCTCCAACTTTCCTACTGTCACGATGTACTCCAGTTTTCTCCTTCTCGTCACATGACAAAGAACGCAGATTGTCTCTTACTGATGTGGGCAATCAGTACTCTTTGTGAATTCGTTTTCTCAAGACATCTTCATTACTCTTTTTATCTGTCCAGGGTATTCTCATTATTCGACTATAAAACCACATCTCCGTAGCTTCCAAATAATGTTTAATTAATCTGCCAACTGTTCATGATTCACTTCCGTATATAAAGTATTTCTTTACGCATTGTGATTATTTCGATATATTATTGTAGCTACTTGCTATTCGAATGATTTTTGTTGTCATTATTATTTTTATGATTCAAAACGGCAAAGGACACTTTCCCACGGCTTCATATGTATTGGAAAATTCCGGTACTCAAACCTTACATCTGTGGAAAGACATGTAATAGTGCTAGACCTACACTTTTCAGACCACACGACCCTTGGTGAGTGATGTGGTCAAAATCACACCGACCCCCTTTACTTCAGAGGACTGTACCTGGTACCTATTTAAGGCTGGGTCGACCGATTATCATTATTAATATCGAATAATTTAAATGCTTTTCGTCAGACAGTTTAAATACTTACATAATTTCTGTTTTCAGTTATTTACCCACCCCCGACCGTCCCTCTCTTCTTCCAGTTCGAAATAATTTCTTTCTTTCGACGCTTTTGTGCAAGCTAATTTGAAAACTACTTTAATACAAAAACACAATATGATTAGGAAGCTCAATTAAACATTTTTAAAAATTGCACTCAGATCTACTCAAAAGATTCAATAAGATGTTTGACGACGAATTAAACAACAGAAATCCTTTAAAAACGAATGAAAACAATCGGCGTGACATATTTTGTAAATATGTGCCAATGACAGTTTCTGACACACTCTTGGAACACCACTTGCCAGTTAGTTGTTTGAGTATAAATGGTGTTTCCCGAAGAAACAAATATGGGATACAAATATGACGACTAGTGCCAGGACAACACCCTTTTCGCAACCAAAAATATTTTCAGCTTCAATATTTAAATATTCAACATTGTTTTGATTTCTGTTGGTTTCGAGACCCATTGCGTGTGTAGGGGGGGGGGGGTTGGGGGGGCATCATATCCCACAACAAACGTGTCGTAAAGGACGACTAATCAAGGGTTTTCTGTAACAGGATGTCTTGGCAATAAACCCCAACACAGCCTGCCAACCGACCTTGAAAGGACGAACACAGTAGAAAAAGGAGTTGGAAAGAATTTGTTTCACTGCAGTTACACGAAATTTTTTTTAATTTGAAGCTCTGCCCTGGTTTAGCCAGGGGCCGCAATATAGGCAGGCCATAAATATGACCAATTGTCTTAACACGGTTTCTGGGACCTCTCCACGGCGATCCTCATCCACATGCTGGCACTTTCTGTCATCGGGTGTTTATCGCTTGTGTGATGTCCTAGTGGGGCAGAAAGTCAAGTCAAGTCAATTTGTTTCACTGTAATGGCATGAAAATTTATGGCGGTCTGTTTCGTAGCCGTCAACCAAAGAGTTCTCTTTTTCCCCCGGTCCTAGGGTGCAAAAGGGGTAAAGAACGCTGCTCCAAAACAGTAAAATAAACTGATGGCTTTTCTACGCGTACAAGCATATTGAGCTTAAAAAGGGTAACGATAAAGTCGGGAGATGTGAACCAACGTCATTGCACACGGTTATAAACCATAAATGCTCTGCCACCAGTTCATACAGCTAATAAGAAATTGTCCGCCTGTATCGCCGTCCGCACGCAACTCCGTAGCTACAGCGACGTTCCTCCATTTTCCCGGAGTGTTAACTTTGGTACCCATTACCTAGACTCTAGTGGCTGGGTGAATCCCGGGGAACCGCTCGGTCTCGAGCACCGGCTGTGGGCTGCAGCGAGTGGCAGCTGGATTTGAAAGCGAGCCCTCTATTGACTGCGCTAACGCGGCTTAACATCTGTAAAAATATGTATAATATGCGCAATCGAATTATCATTTAGTGCAGCATCATTGGACTGACATCAAGACTGGGAATGTTTCGTCCGTGCGTTTTAGGTATTTCATTGGGTTAAAACCGATGCTCGGGGGTGTGGGGGGGGGGGGGGGGGGGAGAGAGAGAGAGAGAGAGAGAGAGAGAGAGAGAGAGAGAGAGAGAGAGAGAGTCTAGTATTGACGACGCAATAAAACATTTAGTGGGCGGGGTGAGGGGGGGGGGTATGCCTACCCCATTACCTATTTTTTGTTAAATGACCCTAAAGGTTCTAAGCTTTGTTTAAGTGCTTTATAATAATAATAATACAGTAGAATAAATATCTTGATACGTTTGCGTATTTAGGTATCCTGATAACAGCAGACAGCAGATGTGTTAAAGTAAAAGCCTTTTGGTGCATCGGGCAAATGAGAAGAGCCCATTTTTACAGACCAGTCGGCACTAGGTGGGTAATGTGGTCAGCATTACGCCGGCCGTCTTTACCTCCCCAGGACATACATCCTGGTACTCATTTTAGGCTGGTCGGCCTTTGACGCCCCATACCATGATACAAATCCACTTAGCCAGCAGTGGGTTTGGATCGCGGTACGTTGGAATTATGAGTCGGACTAGCAACGCCTGAGCCACGGACGCCGCCACTGCAGATTGTATTAAATAAGTTAAATGTAAAATAGCTTAAGTTAAGGCAGCGTTTTACAAAATGAAAATTATGACAAGAAAGACACTTCTCATGAGCTACATAAATCCTTTCCTTAAATACTGAAGTTATTAATGGACAGTTAGGCAATTAGAACAAATTTAAATGGAAGCAGGGAAGGCGTTGTTTTATAGACGAATGACGAGAATACTCTAAGACAGATAAAAATGGTAATGAAAATATCTTAAAAGAGACTGACTCATCAAGGTAACTGGTAGCCCACATCAGAAGCAGACAATTAATATTCTTAGGTCACATTATGAGATTTATTTTCAGTAGAACATCTAGGAGTAAGTCGATAGGAAGACCATGAAACAGATGGATAAATGGTGTAGATGAAACCTGCAAAAAGATGATTAAATCCATCACTCAAGCCACTCTAGGAGCGCAAGACAAATACGGAAAACCACGACACTGCCCTACAACTCGGTAACAGTAAGTCGACAAAAGAAGAAAAAGAAAAAGAAGATATTATGAGAGAATGAAAGCGAAGTATATCGTGACGGTAAGAAAGTTTGAGGGAAAAAGGCTAACCGAGAGAAAAGGTGCTGGACAGTTTGACATAATGACATGGAAGATCCTCTGTATCGGAACTGATTGACAGTGCACGAGACAAAAGGTTGTGGATAGACATGAGTACCAACACCACACGACATGCATTACATGAAGAAAGGTCAATACTGTTTTGGGGGTACACGCGTGTGAACATTTATACATGCGTGTGTATGCAAACACGTATAGTGCTTTCCCGCGTGGGCCTGCAGACGTGTATGTTATGTAGGTTTATATGTGTTTGTGTGTGTGTGTGTGTAAAATTGTATATGTATGTCTATATGGGTGTGTGTGGGTGTATATAGTGAATATCACCCCTCTCCCAAACAACCCTCACCAAGACTAGAGTACCGGTCCAAGCCACTAGTTTTGGCCCAGTTACCATTTCTTAGCCAACATAGCTGGCACAAAGAAAGCAGACCGCAGTTAAAGCCGGAACTGCTTGCAGTAGATAAAACGTGGTCGTTTTTTTCTTCTTAAATAAATGGATGGATGTTTTCACGCCTTTAGGCGTATCGCGTGTACAGTGCTAGATCTATATTTTATATTCCAACCTGCACCCGGTGGCTTATTTGTCTATATCACACATGTCGCATTTACTTCCCCACACTTTACCTTACACTCATTTTGGGCTGTGTCAACCAGGTAATTTTTTTAAGATAAAAAAATCCGACTCGATGCGGATTTTTACCCACGACCTACGGGTCAGCAGCAAGTGTCTAGCCGCTATGTCATTGTGGCTCTCTCTTCATAATAATAATAGCAATATTAATAATAATATTATATTGAATAGTACAAAAAAAATGATCTATTTGAAATAATAGGATATGTATAAACAAAAAGAAAAAAAGAACATCTATATATGGTTGAGGTGCAGGTTATCCCATTGCAAATGGGGGTGGGGAAGGGGTTTCCACGGCACCTACCCCTAAAAAGAGAGTGGGGTTCAAGGTACCTAAGCCCCTCGTGCTCCGACGCCTTTGTCTAGGGCAGTATGTCAATGTTTAAACGTTTTAATGTGTATTTATATTTGGTATCTTTTATCTGTGTACATGCTTTTTTTTTCATTTTTACTTCCTCAATTAATCATCTTCTTTATTATATTTTTTTTTTTAACTGATAGCCTGCATGAATGTCAACAGGTATCAAGCAGAGACTGTGGTACTGGCCTGTCCTCAGTGAGAATGGAGGTCTCACCGACTCTGCTGCAGGTCATCTGTAGCAACAACAACCAGACGACGCTGGTAGTTGATTGTGGCAGCAATATTTGGTAAGATGCTCCTGCTTGTCTCTGTCGATTATACGGCGATTACATGTGTCTTATGGCAGACGGTATGTTAGAATATGAAATCCTAAGCCTACGCATATACTCAGAGCCGTCTTAGGAGAATTATAAGCACCTGGGCAAACTAGTATTCCTGGGTCCCTTTGACAACCACTCACATACATGTTTTTACTTATGGCAAGTCACTTGTCACACACGGATTAACATGAGGTCCCTATGCTGGTGTGGCCCCCGGGCAAGTGCCCAGCGTGCCCACGTGTTAAGACGGCCCTGCATATCATAGCCCAGCAATGTGTTTAATGCGACGTGACCTGTTTTCTTCGTCTTAAGATTTTCTTGCCAATCAGTTCCCGTTGAGACTGAACCAACCTCCTCTGAGCAGTGGGAGGGGGGGAGTGGGGGTGGGGGGGGGATGTGGGGTGCATGTAACGGTTGCAGTCGCCGCTCATTGCAACCCATCCCACTCCCCCCCCCCCCACATGTTTCTTTGCTTCGGTGCCCCCGATCGCTGTTGTCAGGGTCTACGTGGCGAAGTGCTCAAGTCGTTTACTTCCCACTCTGAAAATCGTGGGTTCAGTTCAGGTGACGTTGCTCAGTTCAAGTGACGTTGCTCAGTTCACGTGACGTTGCCCAGTTCAAGTGACGTCGCACAGTTCACGTGACGTTGTTCAGTCCACTTGACGTTGTTCAGTTCACGTGACGTTGCTAGTTCGCGTGACGTTGTTCAGTTCACGTGACGTTGTTCAGTTCACGTGGCGTTGCTCATCTCATCTGGCGTTGTTTAGTTCACGTGGCGTTGCTCAGTTCACGTGACGTTGTTCAGTTCAAGTGGCGTTGCTCAGTTCACGTGACGTTGTTTAGTCCACGTGACATTGTTCAGTTCACGTGGCGTTACTCAGTTCACGTGGCGTTGCTCAGTTCACGTGACGTTGCTCAGTTCACGGGACGTTGCTCAGTTTACATGACGTTGCTCAGTCCACATGACGTTGCTCAGTTCACATGACGTTGCTCAGTTCACGTGACGTTGCTCAGTTCACTAGTGTAATTTTCACGTAGATCTCTGTGTATCGTTATTAGAGCTATAGGTTTCGTTCTTTATGTGACGTTCTCGATAGGAGGCTAGCCTTCTACAGATGGAGACCGGGTCAAATTATCAATTTTAGTCTTTCATATTGTCCATTAGCTGTTTTATTTTTTTAACTAACAGTTTCGCGTATTTTTGACATTTTCTCTGATTATTTTGAACAGGTATGAAAAAGTCACCGGTTTCTGCAACAGTTTTGATCTCAATATTGGTCACGTTTTGATGGTAATATTGTATGTGTGTTCTAGTCTTACATTACTAGTATTAGTATAATAAATAATGTTATCTTAAATAGTTGATGTTTTTATACAAAACTGAGTACGGTAAAATCAGGAGTCATTTAAATGCTTTTTTTTTTTTCACTCTTCCTAACTCATCAGTTATATCAGCTCGATTCATTCATTTATTGTTATATTATTACTCTCTCTCTCTCTCTTCTTCACCCTCCCACTGTCCGTTCTAATGCGTTCTTGGTGGTTACTATTTAGTTTAAAACTACTAAAGTAATTTTCAGTGTGGGTTCCAGAGCCCCATTGTGGAGAAAACAACCACTGCCTCCCCAACAGGCATGTCGTAAAAGTCGGAGTGGATCTGCTTGAGTGGCAAGGAACCAACAGTCTGTAACAAAAAAGTAAGATGTGTAAAACGGATGCAGACGCAAAACTCAGGTCCTGGAACAAATCTGAAGTCCAGAAACGGACGAACAACCAAGTCTTTCCGCCGGTTTCAACCGGATTACCAGCCGTTGAACGCAAACAACAACTAAAGTAATGACAGTTAATTACGATTTTCCAAACACCATTACATGCTAGCTGGGCTGTGTGTGATTCCCTTCCATAGCTTATTTATAACACTATCGTCTGGGAATACGGAAAGGTGTCAACAGCTACATGTTCTTAAGACTTGCTATCTTTGTCTCAGGATTTGTGAGTGTTGTTGACAATGAAAGAGCTGGCAGACTAGACGGTTCTGTCTTAGTTGCAGACGATCGGCCTGTGAATCGCCCCTACACTGCTAATGGCAGTAGAGAGACAGAACTACTGGAGGATTCTGGGAGCAACGAGTCCATATCACTGCCAAGAATTCGAGTACTGGGAGTAAAGATCGGCACAGCCAAGCATGAGAGGCTCGCCAGATTACAGTCTTAATAACCAACATATGACTGGCGCTATTAACCGCGGGACACTGGTGTATGTGTTGAAAGGAGAATCTGAGCACCTATGAATGTGTCCGCAGTTCGTGGAGATAGCCCAGCTCACCGGCTCACTGCGTTTTGGAAGCCAGCAGTTGAGAGTGTTCTGTATGGGGGGTGTATCTGTGGAAAATTAATCAGATTTTGGAGCCCAAAAAAAATGTATCATCACTTGTCGTGTTCTCTCTAACTTGTTATATTTGGTCAGATTATACTATAGATATCTGGTTTCCCCAAGGTTATGGCCTGTGCAGAGAATCATGTCATTTCATCACATGCCATTTCAACACATGACATTTAGTCACATGTCATTTTATTACATCTCAATTCAGCCATTGTCATTCCATCATATGTCATTTCCTTAAAGGGGATTGCACCAAAATGGTTTCATGAAAGGTTGTTACTAGGCCTGTACCGAATGGTGATTTTCACTATTCGGCCGAATGCGAATAGCGGGACAAACTATTCGGCCGAATACGAATACGAATACAAATAGTGTATAAAATATATGAACTTTTACTTTACCTAAAGTAGCACAGAATAGTCATCTTCTTCTTTAGTATTCTGAGCCCTTAAGGTTTACTGCTGCAAATATCACTCCTCTCCATTCACCTCTCTGGCTGGCCTTGTCTTCACAATTTGTGACACCAGTTGTTTGCAGGTCTGGCTGGACATTATCTCACGAACTTCTTTTTTGTCTGCCTCGTGGTCTACGCCCATTCCTCTCTCAGGGTGTACAGTTTTTACTTCTCTGTCATTTGGCATTCTTTCAATATGCCCCAAACATTTTAGTATGTTAGCTCTCATTTTTTCAGTGATCAATGGTGATTTAAACAGATTATGTGTTACGTTTTTGCTTCTCACTCTCCATTACCCGCTGTTAGCATCTTTGATGGGTCCAAAGATTTGTCGTAAGACTGTTTTCGAAAACCTGTCTTTTATTTCTGCTTCAAGTTTCAGAGCCATATAAAACGACTGGTCTTTTCGACGTTTTATATATTTTGATCTTGGTGTTGCGAGAGAGACACTTTAACTTTAGCAGATCTTGAAAGGCATAATATACTTTATTTCTAGATTGTATTTCTTCTCTCAGCATGTTGGAGCAGTTGAAGTTTGCACCCAAGTACTTATATGTTTCCGTTTGTTTGATTTTCCTATCGTTCCATGTTGTCAGCATTAAGGCCGTGTATGCAGAAACGGGTGTAAGGTAACTACTATTCGTATTCGGCCCGACCGCAAATATTCGGCCGAAAGCGAATACGAAGCGAATATTCGGTACAGCCTAGTTATTACACTGTTATTTATCACATGACGCCCGTATCTCTAGCGTAGTTGGCTAAACCGGATTGCGCGGTGAGCGGGTGACGAACTCCTTGTGGTCCGCGTTCACTCCCGGGGGTGGGCAGAAAAGCCACATTTCTCCCAGATTTACGGTATTTATCATGGAATCAAGGCCGAAGGGTTGCGATATCCATAATACCGAGCCAAAGTGTTAACAACTCATGGCTTCTGGATACTAAAACAAACAAACATTTATCACATGACACTTTACGACATTGATCTTACTGTTGGATATGTTTTATTCAGAACCAACCGTTGATGTCTTCAACCGTCACACTACAGCTAGTCAAGTCTGGACAGGTACTGGACGCTGCAAAAGTCGCCATCTTAACTTCAGAACATTTATTTCATTATCGTATCTCGGTCTGGGGAAACAGAAACACCAGGTACCAATTAATTGATTTTTAATTTTTGTTTTAAATTGCGTGTCCTTTACATGACGTCGTAGATCTAACCCCAGCACTTTCTGGTTGTTTGTGGGTTTTTTAGGCAATATTACATTCGCTAGTTTGCCATTTCCTTATTAACGGCCAGAGTTATGTCAATTGATCAGGTGCCGTTTCCTCAATGAAGTTCTACTGCAAGGGATCCCAAATACACGCTGTCTCTTGTTTTGGTTGTAGACCCTCCCAGACTGCTGCTTGTCCATCTCTTCATGTTGTCCTCCAACTTGCGCTACATACTATTGTAGACATCAACCTAAAGCGGTTTGCTGCCTAATCGCTAGCAGCTAGAATCGAACCCGGTACTTGGGGATTACACATAGATTTGGCAACCCCTAAACCACAGAGGCCGGCTCAAGCAATGAAATACTTTTAATTTACATTTCTTGATTACCTCGCGTTACTAGACGCACAGACATAAACATCATCTTCATTAAGTAAATTGCCGACTGGCATAAGCGATCCTCTCCTCAACTCGCGATCTCCAACTGTATGTTCATATCTTGAAGCCCCTCCAACCCCTCTATGATGGGACAAAAGATTGTCAAAAATTTTTTTCTGTTCTATTCGCAACCCCTAAGCTAGTTTGCAGTTAGCTTGTTGGTGGTTTGTAGTTTAATAGAGCAGATTCTGCTTATAGCTGTAGTATGACAAATCCTAGAAGTTTTTGAATACTAGTTTCACCAGTCAGTAGAAAAGAATGGTAGGATGTTGCCATTTCCTCTTTGTAGTATCTTTGGTGGCAATGTGCGTTCAATTGAGTTGTGTAGTTGTATGTGAAATATTCTGGTGTATGTTGATTGTGTTGTGTGTTGTTGGGCGATTACTTTTCGGATGTAAAGTTTGGCTGAACTATGTAAGACTTTTGCATAAAATAAACGTAATCGTTAGTTGTCACTCTTTTATTCCGTCGTTAGTTTGTTGAGAGTTGCTCTATTGTTGGCTGTAGTAATTGTTATATACTACTGTAGTGATACTACCTATCTTGTTATACCTCCACTGACTATTACCTGAAAGTCTAAGGGGTAGACACATTCTACACTCCACACAAAGGAACAACCTTTCAACTTCTCATGCATCCTTGTACAATTATTCTTCTTGTCTGTTTCTCTTTCCTTTTATATTCCCTTCTCTCTATCCTTTAAATGTAAGCGTCGTCCTGTTTCAGAAGTACGAAAAAAAGGACATGTAAAATTTTGTTGTGATGGGTGCAATGGTTCCGATTTAAAAAAAAAAACCCCATTAAGTCTGAAGGCTGGTGCGTCTAAACTTAATATAGTTTATCCCGTTACAGTAAGCAGCTATATATGGTTTTCTTATCACACCTTTTCATTTACTTTTCAGGTTCGTTCTCACAATAGAAAAGGGATGCGCCCCATTGGAATATAGTGTCGTGTCTGATACACTTGAACGTGATCCACCATCTTCTGTTATAAAGTCCTCCCTGCATGTACCACTGGTCCATTTCAGTGGTCAGTTACCGGCCTTCCATTACAAAACAGATACTGTCCTGTCTCGGATGTATCCGTATTACGTCAGAGATGACGAGTTACGTGGAGTTCCAGAATATGTGCGCCCAAATAAACTGGCTAATGTTGAGCATGATAATTATGCATTCTTGAAAATTCCGAAACTCCATTTAGGAAGAAGAGATACGTCACACGTTGAAGACAACCCAACAAAGGTGGAGATATATCGCTCAAAAGTGTCAAGGCCTGATTCAGGTTTAGGTGCCGATCATTTACGTCAATATGACGAGGACTACGGCGAGGACGATGTTATGACAACGACACCGGAGAGTTCAGAACTAGCCAAGCTTCGTTGGATGGAAGAAAAAAGAATACTGTTTGAACAGAGGATGAAATTCCTCAGAAATTTTTATTCGGAGTCTAGTGATACATCAGATAGTGACAACCCATCTGTAGATGAGGCTGATGACAAAATTAACGCTGGAGTTGGGATTATCAAAGAGGCAGCAAACAATTTGCCCGCAAGTTTAGATTCTAACAAGGGTAATAATGAGCACAGCAGAGCTGACTCGAACAGACTTGCCGAAGATGCTCAAAACACAGAGACACCTCCCGGAGATCATGACCAAAAGGAGACCAGAAGGTCAGAAAACCTTCAGCTAGATAGACAGGAGTCTACTGTTCGCAACGAAGAGCTCACGAGACTTGAATACCGCCAGCTGAGTAATTCAGACGCTTCCCTGGATAGAAATAATGACGGGAAATCACAGTTCATGCTAA